AAAAAAAAAAAAAAAAAAAAAAGAATAATAACTGTCACGACACGCACGTGCGCGTCGCGCGCCAAAATCGTGACGCGTCCGTGCGTACTGGTAGCAGAAAAAGAACAAAACGAGTATTAAATATATGCGGGGGCCGTGGAGAGGAGGGAACCTTCCTTTACTCAAAAGAAATTTCGGTGGATTACTTGTCAATCCACTGACTTTTCCCTGTTGCCAGGTAAGAGAAAAAAAAACAGTGGAAATATATAAGATCTTCATATGTATACCTCATATCCTCGGTTTTGGTGCATAGCAAGCACATTTTCGTCAGAACAAATCAGAACAAAAAAAAAGTTCTCAAGATATCTTAAACGTGCGTTGTCTCTCCTTCCTATGAATTGTACCCTCCTCCCTCCCTCCCTCCCACCCGAGGAGAGCTCGCGGGCCCTATATTGCAATATTTGTACTTTTCCATGTTGAAACCTCGATATACAATAAATTATATTAACAAACTTGGATTCTTGATTCTCTTTTGATTAATCATCTGTTTCTTTTCATCTTCTTTTTATTTTAATATTTATTTAAAAGGTTGAGGGTACATAAATGATTACATAAAAATTTATCGAGAATGATTTATTTGTGAGTTGTAATATTATCATAAATTGTTTTTGTATATTTAATATTTAATCATTAAATGAAAATTATTATTTTAAGAAAAAATATACAAAAATAATAGCATGCTTTTTTATAATAATTATAATAGCGTCATATATAACGAGATTCTACATTAAGTAATTCTAATTCAATAAGGATATCGATTGATTCACGGATTTTACATTCTCGCTATATTATGAATGCTATATAATTTTTCAAACAATGAAAAAATTATGACAGAGAAATATTGGTATTTAAATAAATAAAAAAATAGATCATATATAACATAATTTTTCATATAACATGTCACATCTATAGCGTGATAACTATTCAAAGATATCTTATTTTTTATGAGAACCTTGTTTCTTTGGAGCGAATTCTAATCCTCTTATATAGTTTTTTTTAATTTGATATTTTTCTGAAAAATTAATTAATTTATTTCAAAAGATATACAAATATTTTTAATTATCTTATAAAATATCGATTTTATTACTTGCCTGTAAGTAATTTGTAGACATATAAAATTTGATTTCCTTGAACTAGAACACTAGGAGTTTTTTTCCCCGGTTCATCCGTAATTGTTGCACTCGCTCCAATATTTTGGCATTCTTTGCTAAATTCTTTAGCATTTATACCAAATGTTTCCAAATTATTTACTAGCGTTACCTATATATAACATTAAATAAATAAATAGTAACGTTTCGCATATATAATAGTAACAATCTTATATGTTAATTTTATATGTTAATTTTCAGAATCAATATATACCTTTTTACCACCGGATCGAACAGTGACTCTCATATCAATAGGTTCCAATTTACCCGTGTGTAACAATTTATTTCCTGCTAGAGTAACTTCATGCATATGCGTCATACGTCCAATAAACTTGTTTATTCCATCCTCCATCATTACAGTTTCCACATTCGCTTTAGTTTTCATAATAGCTGCGAGTTGCGGGTTCAGTTTCAGTATCCTATAAACAAAATTATTTTATTAAACAAAATTATAATAAAACATATATTTCATCATTAATTCTTTACCTTCCATCTTGAAGATTCTCTGCTTTCACGTATTCAGTAAAACATTTTCTGATCTCAGCTCTTTTCATAATGTCTCCTTTTCTGCAATCATTGTATGGGAGTAAAATATACATAATTCGTATCATATAATACAGCATAATGGTATATGATGTAACAGTTGTCGACTTCTGCTCTGCACAGAAAATCAATCTTTTTGCATTTATTGTATCACGGCAACGTGACACATCCCGAGTGTAGCACTATATACTCACTCATATCCAAATTTTGATAGTACTGGTAAAACATCGGCAGTCACTTTATAACATTCAGAGACAACTGCCGCATTGGAAACAATTGGCTCCTGGGTTGATGTAGGTTCCTCTATAATGACCAATTCTTTTAGAAGAGGATGATCAAACTATAAAAAGATATATTACAATTACTGAAAGCAACAATTATTTCTATAAAATTTTAATCAAAATCTTACCTTAATCGATAATATACTTTCAACACCTTTAACAACAGAGGTATTAATAACTCCCTTTGTTTTCATTTCTGCTAAAAACAAGGATAATTTTTTATACCGAGTTTTTTTTATATCTATATTTTTATTTGATGGACATGCAGCTATTAAATGATTTTTAAAGAAATTGGATGTTAATATTGGTAAGTCACTAGGCTTTATTGAAGTTTTGCAAGCTTTTAAGAAGCAATATTCAAGTAAATTGTCCATTTCTTTTATTGGATCCATAGTTATTTCTATTTCATCAGTAGCTATAGTTTTAATTTTAGGAGATTCTTCCATTTTGTTTTCTTCCTCAAGAGTTTCAGTTTCTGATATTAAATCATTATTCACATCTAAATTATTGATTGTCTCAATAAGTGATTCTTCATTATTCTCATTTTTCTGATCAGTTATTTCATCTATAGTTTTTATCTTATCACTATCAATATCAATATTTGGTGGTCCTAAATTTGGCCTTAAAGGAGGTTTTCCAAGTTGACACAATGTATCACCTATTACATGTAGAATTTCTACACATTTTCCATGACCTCCAGACATATACATATCTTCACTGGAAAGTGCAGTAAAACCAACAGCAACTGGTGCCTATATAAAAAAAAAAAAGTAAAATTATATATTTTTTTATCAAACTATAATATGTTAAGGAAAAATAAACTTATATAATATTATACCTTATTATCTTCTGTATTTATTGAAACAGGTGTACCCTTTTGTAATTTGCCAAAAGAATATAATGTCACAGGTTCTTTCAAATAGACACCAGGCAACATTAAATCTGCACCACCTATTAATTTTGATATAACTGGGGGATATGTTGTAAAAGTCTTTAATAAATTTGGGTGATGCCATAAAGTATATATGGTAGGTAATAATGCTTGATGTAAAGATTCAAGTTCAAAAAACATAGGTATTTTAGCTACACAATAAATTTTTCCTAAGTGACCATTGTGAGTTGCAATTTTCATAACACTTATTGCCTCTTTTTTAGGAATTAACGTTTGTGTCTCTTCATCTGTCAACGTGGGATATATTGCTGAAATTTCTTCACATAATTTTTTCCTAATTAAAGACAATAATAAATATATTTATTAATATAAATTATTGAAAATATAAATTAAATTATACTAACCTTTCTGTTCCTTTCAATTGATTGTTAGATTTTACTTTAAACGATTTTATAAACATTTTGATTTAACACAAAATATAAAAACAAAGTTTATTCAATAAAATTCTTAACAAAACTCTTCGGATAAAAATTTGACTATACTCAAGATTACACAGGTTATCCAACCCTTCATCTCATTATTTAATCGTTGCAAATTTAATCAAAGTAAGTAACTAAAATTTATTGCGATAGAAATAATTCTAATGAAATATGCATACAATAATTGAAAAATAAACATAAATGTACAAAATGTATTAATTAACAAAAGAATGCAATAGTAATAAATTTAGAATTAATAAAAGGGTTAACAATTTTTCCAATATATTTATTAAAGAACTTCTTTTGTTGTACATTCATGTTATCACGATTCAACCAAAAGCGATGTTACCAAATGCAATACTTCAGTCTAAAGTATTACTAGTGTATAAAGTACTCAATCATATTTGTAGATTAAACATTTTAGATAAATATTTATCTAGAAAAAATGTTAAATCAATTAATTCAAAAAAGAATAGATGAATTTATTCAAAGAAAATTTATGTTAATAAAACATAAAATATATACGATGTACAATAATGATAGTTGTATTGTAAAGTATATCCTGTGTCCTCTTACGGCACATAGGAAAAACACGATAAAATCCACTGTGTGATCTATAGGTCACTATAACCTCAAAAAATTGCATTATGCATAATCTATCAGTGAGAAGTAACCTTTGAACATAATATAAGTTTAAAGTATTATCATCATATTCTTATTTATTTATTGCCACTATTAGAATGGCAATTATGAAAATATTATTACGACCAGACATCGTAAGATTCACGGGAGTCAGAGTGAGTTACATTTCATACGCCATTGTTATATTTGATTCTAGTTACTGTACATCAAAGTAGTTTCGTTATTCATTTTTTTTTTTTGTTTATGACAGATTAAATTAAATTCACTATAAATTGAAAATATAATAATAATTCATTTATTCGCAACTAATTGGTGTTGTGACAAAATTTTTATTTATCGTTAGTTTCATTTTTCTCGAACTATTCGAATACTATTTAAAAATATTTAAAATTAATTCTTTTTGATTAAAATTTGAATTTTTAAATAAACTACTTGTTCATAAACACAAATTATCAAATTTAATGCAAATTTCTATTATTTTAATTAAAAGATTTTGAAATTGTATTTTTTATATTCATTTTTCAATATTATGCAAAAATTTATAATTTATAAATTATAAATATAAAGTTGATAAAAACAAAAAGTTGATGCAAAATTTGTCAAACATTGCATTATGCATTAGTATAAAAATATACTATATAACATTCATAACATAACAGTATATTTTTATATCTTGTTTCAAGGTCTATATAGCTGTATCAATATCTTGCTCCAAAAATATGAAGTAACTTTATAACTCTTTATGAAACATGTAAACAATAGTAATTTATATAATTATAAAATATAAATATAAATATTTAATTATTTTAAACACATAATAACATAAACACTATAAAGTTTTTTTATTTTATGATTATTTTACATAAGAATTATGTTTCTTTTCAGCATCTAAGTATTAAACCAAAATTTGGTTTACTTTTTGACATTGATGGTGTATTAGTACGTGGCAAGAAAGTATTACCACCTGTATCAGAAGCTTTTAAACAACTGCAAGGAAAAGATGGCAAATTCCGTGTACCAACTGTATTTGTTACTAATAGTGGAAATGCATTACGTAGTCAAAAGGCAGCAGATTTATCTAAATGGATAGGATTTGAAGTAAAAGAATCACAAGTTATTATGGCTCATTCACCATTAAAATTATTTAATCAGTTCCATAATAAACAAGTACTAATATCTGGTCAAGGACCAATCAAAGAAATAGCTAAGGAATTAGGTTTTCAAAAAACAGTAACTATTCAAGAATTAGTGAAAAATTTTCCTTGTTTAGATTATGTAAATATGGAAAAGAGAAATCCAATATGTGGTCCTGTGGATCCTACATTTCCTAAAATAGAAGCCATTGTATTATTTAGTGAACCCATTTCTTGGGAAACCCCATTACAACTTATAATAGATCTTTTAATGACTAATGGCATGCCTACTGGTTTGCTTGATGATATTCCATATCCACACATTCCAATCTTGGCATGTAATATGGATTTATTATGGGTATCAGAAGCACCGATTCCTAGATATGGTCATGGTACTTTTTTACTTTGTCTAGAATCACTATATAAAAAGATTACAGGAAAAGATATGATATATTCTGCTCTAATCGGAAAACCTAGTGAAATAACATATTATCATGCAAATTATATGCTTCATGAACATGCTAAAAGTATTGGTATAGATAATGTTAACACCATATATGCTATTGGGTAATTAATCCATTGAAAATATTAAAAAACTAAAAAAATTTTAAGAATTAAAATGAATATATAATTAAATTCAATTTGTATTTTATAGAGATAACATCAACACTGATATTTTTGGTGCAAATTTGTACGATAAATATTTATCTTATTGTGCAAAAGAGGAAGCATTAAAATCTGATAAATTGAAGAAATTACTTGACAAGGATATCAAACCACCCAATGCAAAAGCTTGTATTAGTATTTTAGTTGAAACTGGTGTTCATCAACGAGATTCTGATTTTATATCAGAGCACAGTCCTAGAGACTTCTTACCAGTCGAAGATGGTCTTGGCAAGCCTGCATTCGTAGTAAAACACGTTGGCGAAGCTATTAACGTCGCGTTTAAGGAAGAAAAATTTGACTGAATTAATATAATGCTATAGAACATCTTTTTAGACTTGGAATGTTCATCCTAATATTGATTAAGATAAAAAGAAGAGATGCAAGAAATTATATATATCTATATTGCTAAATATCACGTAAGTATCATGTTAATTTCGGTAACTTTTTTTCGAAGGCAAGAACGTAAAAGATAAGATTACTGTAATTAATTGTTTAAAATACTTTACTTGGCACTTTTTTTTAGTCATTTTTAATATTTTTATTTTATTAAAGAAGAAAAAGAAAATATTATATTTACATCTACAGTAATCTTTACTAATCAATTAAGAAATTATCATTGCAAGTCAATGATATTAGCAAACAGTACAACAATTTACATTAGAAATACTGAATATATTAAAAATAGTCTTTCAATCTATATAGATTTTTATGTATATTTGAAGTTTTTATTATTTATGTTATATAAGTGTAATATTTAGAAAATTTTTTGAAGATAACATATGTACATATATTCATTTATATATAGAATAGATATATACATTCGTATAATTTTAAATTCAACATTTATTATGATGATATTATACAATGTAATGATTAAATTTTATCATGTCTCATTTAATTTTATCATATTGTGACGATAGATCATACGAATTAAAAATTTAGTTTCAATTTGAAAAAAAAAATTAAAAAATGAAAAAGAGAAAACAATATAAACTATATGCAATTGTTTTAATTAAAAAAAATTGTAATCTAACAATAGATGTACTACAAATGCATTATTTTTAGCGTTTATTGGCGAATATCGCTTTATATACAGAATTTCGTCTAGTCGCAGTTTCATTATGTAGCAATGTTATTATATATAGCAATTCATAATTTTTATCAATGCAAAAAAGTATGCAATTGTTAAATTTTAGATAATTTTACTTTGTCGATCTTTATTTTTATACATGTAATCATGAAAGAATAAGAAAGAATACAACATTGAATATGTATCAAACAAATTATAAAAAATAATATAAACCGATATTACACAAGAATATTTGCCACAGCTGATGGTAAAAAAAGACAAAAGTCAGCTGAGATGAAGACTGACCATCTATGTAAAATCAAATTAATAATAAATATTTGCTGGAATCAATATTATAATTTGCGTTAACATTAATAAATTAAAGGAAGAAAATAAAAAAATAATCATTGTTCTTGTTTCTTTTTCGAAACAATAAAATATTATTTAAATTGTATGAAAGAATAAGATTTTATGATACCCGTATAGATAATGAAGAACAATTATATATATAATATATGTACTGTTGCAAAATTGAAAGC